AGTCCATGTAGACCTCCTTCCACTAGAAAAATCAAATGCAATACCAGGGAGGGAATCCGAAGGAGAGAGAGGGACTGTGTTGATAGAAAACACAATGAAAGCGTCTGTGAAGGAGAGATTGTTCAACATGGCAACTGCTATGACATTAGCGACTGTGACAGTGAGTGCAAAGAAAAATCATAGCTGTGTCCGAAATGGCATTCCGTCTAGTACGCAATAGATTTAGTTTAAAGCTCACTTTTACGACAAAAAAATGTATGCTCTGTATAGAATGAATACGGGTAGTATGAATTAAATTAGGACATACTACCTCTGCAATGTTGTCACTGTCACGTGACCTACCAGCCTTCACTGCCATTCACAAATCCTCTTCTGTGGTTTCATGGGACAGTAAAGTGTCCATTGGATGCCTACTTCAGAATCTCAAGAGAGGTAGTAGGTCATTCAGGTACTTTTTGCCTACCGTTTTTTGCATACTATGAATTTGGACATACTCTTTTGCCGTACTGTTTTTCGCATACTATAAATAGTGTTGAAGTAGGCATATTCAGGCGCAGCCACGCAGCATAAGCTACATAAATACAAAGCATGCTCATTTTTATTGTTTAGCATCAAATTGTGTCACATTTTGTAAAGTGAGTGTTTAAGATTAGTGCACTTCAAACAAATTGTATAATCTCTACATATTGTGAATGATGATATTAGAGGATGGTTTTTCCTAGTTCCAGACAAAATTAGGATTTTCCAAAGCATCGCAGGTGTAAGGTATTGGAGGTACCACTGTGTCCAGTGAAGGGCGTCTTAGGTATTGGAGGTATAAAGTTACAAATAACTCTCTGACTGTGTACAGTGACGGGCGTCTTGTCAGAGTGGAGTGAGTGGAGTTATTGCAAACCTTACTGTGGGCGATATTCTGAACAAACAAGAGAAAGAAAGTGTGTTGCTGACATCTCTAAATACCGGTAGGAGAAAAAACATCTCATGCTACTAACTGAAATAAGACATCGTCTATAATAAATCATAGGTGTGCAATTTCATTACATTCATACTGTAGATTGTGCGTTGTTTATCAGTCAGTTTTCTTTGGTTTTCTTTATCTCCTATAGTTCCCAAGACCGCAGTATTTTTGCAGGGGATCCATATGTTAACTGTGAGGGTTTGGAAACACAAATAGAGAGAAGACAATGCACAAATGTTCCCGAGTGCAAGGATGAGGTTGTAATTTTATGTTCAGAGCTTATGTATATTATTTTTTGTTAATTAAAGTGTATACATTTTCATTTTATCAACATATTCTTACTGTTTTCCAGAATGAATGAGCAGTCTCCAGAGTAGCTGTTGAAGACAAGAGGACCAGCTGCCTTACACAGTAACCTCACCAGCAGCTGGAATGACCTCAACATGCCAAGCTGTTCTCTTATGAAATGTGCTACTAACAGAAAAATACTTGCTTTATTAGCCTTTGTGATATAGATTGGATTGATTGTTGATTGATGCACATCTTTGTAAACTGCTTTGCTGCCACAATAAAATGTTAAAGTAATGCTTCGCGATGTAGTAAATGGGATAATTAGACACAAACGCTATTACTGGCTATTCTAAAGAAGAAAAGACGCGAGCCAGCCAGGAGTCGAACCTAGAATCTTCTGATCCGTAGTCAGACGCGTTATCCATTGCGCCACTGGCCCGACGAGTACACTTATGGACCACGTGACTCTATGTAGTATGACTACTACGAGCTTCCTCATTTCGAAGACTGCTGCGCCCTCCTGTGGTCGCATTTTATGGCCGCAACTTCATTAAGGCTGCCTCATTTCAGAAAAGTAACGATTACATTCCAAAATAAAATAAAATAAAATAAATAAATAACTTATGTCCCAAGACAAATAACAACCAATTTTATAACGGTTAGTTTTCTGAAGTGACACATCCTCGATGAAGTATGCCAACCACAGGAGGGCGCAGCAGTCTTCGAAATGAGACACAGCGACTTGTTTTGAGTGTAAGTTAATGGTTTGGCAATATTGTATGTAAACAGTCGAGTCAATAAAGTACTCAATAAAGTACTTTTAAATTGAAATTAAATTGACTATAGACGTTCGAAAGACAATCCTTTCTTTTCTGGAAGACTATCCCATAAAAACTGGGTATGTTTTCATTTAATTAAATTGGTTGGCAGAGACATCATTATGATCACAAACCGAAAACATCGCATATTCATGTCTCCTTAACTGAATACACGACCGTATATCTGTGTACTACTGCCATATTCATATACATAAAAGACGTACCTAACGGGCAACTTTATGTACAGACGACATCTTCACTCCTGGTGAGGAGGTCTGTCAAGGCAGTGAGATGTGGGCTGTCCTTCACATGGCCATCGCCTGCCGAAATAGCTCAGTTGGGAGAGCGTTAGACTGAAGATCTAAAGGTCCCTGGTTCGATCACGGGTTTCGGCATTTTGATCCAAACCAATTATATTTAATGGACTACGCCATAGAACCTCCAAACATCTCAAGCAAGAAACCTGTGCCTTGTACCATGAATAGAGAGAACAGAATGCATGTGTTCATTATTTTGTGAAAGAAACAGGAAATATTAAATAGTTTTCTTTGAGTTTAAGATGATGGTTGTTGATTTTGAGTTTTAAAAAATCTATAATTTAAACACATGCCATAACTTAAACCCTTCGCAAAGGCCCGCCCCTTACTGTTGCCATGTCCGACAAGTCACGGCTCTCGCGCTATAGTGGCAGCTCCTGCCAGCCAGTTGAAGATTGAACCCCCACTCCGCTATAGCCTACATCATGTTTCCATTCAGTGAAAAATACATCGCGGGGCAAAGAGGAAACTGACAACGTGCTGACAAACAAGACTTTTGGTATGAAACAAAGCCTCCTCTCTCAAATGTTGTCATTTTTAAAGAAATTCAAACAATACATACCGTTTTATGGCTCTTTAATGTGTCGTGAAAGATCGCTGAGGCGCCTCAATTAAAGCGGTACTTGAACCGATCATCTCTTCCTCCAATCTCTACCTCTTTACAGCATGAAATAAACATGAATGAACATCAGAAATGTTTCTTGTTTCAACCGCGGAAAGACATCAATACACACCATTTTTCAATTTCAAATCCACAAAAGTCAATCTATTTCCCAGTCCGGTGACGGTCTGGTTTGTTTGTCGGACAAAATGGCAGATTCGGCGTTATGATTGGTTAGATCGTCTGTCAATCAATCTCCATTTCTAACAAGTACAGATGTCATAGGTGTATAAATTATAAACACCGCCCTCATTTTGGCGACGCACGTTTCCGTAGTGGTTATATCGCATGACCATCCCAGTAGAATCCTGCAAGCCAGTAGACAACTACCTGCATTGCCCTGATTGAAACTTTTGCACAATAACGGAAGCTGGAAATCACACTTCTAATAAAATATGCTTAGGTCACACAATTACATTAGAAACACTGAAACAGTGTTAAACATGCAAAACAAAATAAAATGACAAAAGCTGTGTGCCAAGAATATTGCTTTTACACTTATCCAATAGCCAAAGATACATGAAATAAGTTATTTGATCAAACCAACAATGCTTCCAAGACTTACCATTTTGCCGACCATTTCAAACAAAATATTTTGGAAATTTACACATTTCTTTCAACAAAGCTCAAACGGCCTATGGTGTTACAGGAAGAAGCAACAAACATAATAAATTAATCGATAACAAAAATCATTTTAAATACGAAAGCTTTCTCTTGGTAATCACTTCCACATTGAACCACAGTGTTTTGGACCATGGTAGCTGGTCGTTAGCCGAGTGACCAGCTATCATACTCTAAAAACCAGCTCGACAAGCCAGTTGCAGCTACCATGATCCAAAAAAAAAAAAAGAGCACACACAGATTAAGACGCAATTCCAGCAGGGATTGCATTAATCTTTGTGTCTAAAGAAAGGTCACTGATCAATTAATATTCAGTGAATTTATTGTACAAATAGAGGTATTGCAAGCATTCAATCTAGCAAGTCTCTCCATGGGTATGAGTAAAATACTGTCATACAGAACCAAACCAAAATCAGAGAAACAAACATACAAGTAAGTACAAGGACTCATCATCACTGTTCCACTTTCCACGAAAATCATTTTTTTAGTCCATGTGCAGGTTTAGAATTTTAGCACTTAGAAAAAAGAACACTTGGTATTAAGACATAAAGAATGAGTCTAAGGTTTCCTATGAAATGCATTCTGCTGAAGGCATTAAACACTTTTGTAATACTCTGATTTTTTTTTTGCCTCTTGATGATAAAAGTAGTTATGGCAACAAATGAACAGACAAACCTTTGGTGGAAGAAGGATGAAAGCAATGAAATTATATTTACACAGAAAAAAGAGAGACAAAAATGCCTAATTCAGTGAAACGAGGCACTTCTCCAACAAAGGCGAGGATAAGTGAAACCAAATGACCAGCCATTCTCCATATTGAGTGCTGCTTTACCAAAACATCCACTGCATGTAGAGCTACAGGTGACAGGTCAAATAGATGTTGTACACTAGAGAAGATTTATACTGGTAGTTCAGAGATCAATTCAAGATTGGGGCCGAATGTTACCTATTCTACAACAGGTGGTTTCACATTGATGGGATACTGGATAATGCATCAGCACCTTCATCTCTGGTCAAATGTTTCGTACAAACAAAAGTCAAGGCTTAAGGTTCTCATAAAGCACAAATGACTAGTATCAGTATAACAAATACACCTTTGCTGCTGGCAATGTCAAACAAATTCATGAATACATTTCAGAGAGCGTCTCAAAAGCTTTACTTGAGTAAACATTCTCCTCCCTACAACAACAGAGCCACGATAACCTCAAGAGGATGCTGGTGACACCCTTTTTGCCAAAATAAAGTTTGCACACAGAGAAATAAATAACAGTATAATCTTGTTGCTTTCTTTTAGATAAGTTAGGTTACTATAACGGGTTTTTACGTCCATAATGTGCCTTTTAAAAGTGTTATTTACAAAGTGAAATGAGAGAAAAACTGGCCTGCCCTTTCAAAGGACAATCAATAAAGTGCAATTAAAAAAAAGATACAGTACAATGAAAGGGGCTTGACTTGTTGGACAGCGAAAAGGAGACATGAGAAAGTCACTAAGCTTTGGTTGTTAACATAAAACAATACAAGTCTTCTTAAGCATGTGTAAAGCACAAAGGTATGCTGTGACTCGGCAAGGTACAGTAAAACTTGCTTCTGGGTCCGTTTGTGGTCCGGAGTTGGTTTCTGGAGATAATCTACTACTGCACAAAATCAGGAATCAGATGGAGAGAGGGCAATAGGAGTTGTTGGAGAGGGAATGGTATTGGCCAGATTATAGGTTGAATTCGGGAAGGTACCCTGAGAGGGCTGTACATTGAGGAAAGGAGGTCTAGTTGTGGGTGTCTGGGGGGATGTTGCCGCTGTGGTTGGGGAGTCCAAGCTGACTTCATCCCCTTCCTCCGAGTCCCATACCTCACTCTGCAGGTAGTCTGCAAAGAGGGCTTTAGCTCGCTGTAGAATACGCCCAAGGTTGTGGCGACGGACCAGGCGGTCAAAGTGCATGGCCAGCTCATTGTAATCCAGGCTGTTTTTAACAATGTGGTCACGATGTTCCAGAAGGATAGACAGGCAAAGGAAAAGCATGAAGGGATTCCCTTTCCCAAACTCTTGAGGAGGAGGAAGCGAGCAGGGTTTAATTCCGCCTCCTTCTGGTTTGTTTGTGTTTGGAGAGGTTACGCCAGACCCGGTGGGTCTGCATGGCGAGGGAAGATTGCTGGAGAACGCTTTGGGCAAAGACGGCGACTTGCCAAAGGATAAAACAGGTGAAGAGAGAAGCGAACGATTGTAACCCTGTGATGGAGACGCCAGTAAAGATTTCCCTTGTACCACTGATGGGGATTGAGCCCCAGTTTCATTTATTACAGCTGGTGAGGACATGAACCCCCCAGGAGGTTTATCAGGAGACACGGCTTTGTCTCCACTAGAGGAAGAGGATGTGCATTTTGAAAGGGCATCGGGAGACGCCGTTCTCCAGCTGGATGGAGAATTAGATGCTTCTGGTGAATGATTTGAGCTACTCTTCCAATTTGGTAGACCAGAAGGAAGAGATGATGCTGGGGAAGCTGCTTGACCATTGGGAGAGTCTCTTTGCCCTGGAGAAGACGGTGTATGATTACCGATAAGAGGTTGCTGCTCTCCAGGGTCATCCTCACTTTCCTCTGTGGACTGACGGACCGAGAATGGCAACGTGGCGTGTGCAGACTGAAACTGTACTGGAGATAACATAGGATCAGAGCAATCGTTTTCATTCATCTCAAAGCAGTTCTCTTTTCGGCCACTATAGTACTTGAATTCCCCAAAACTTGCCTGCTTCTCAAATGAGGGAGTTGGAGCTGTGACATCATTCTTGACCATGTCATCTACACCGTACTCTCCTTCACCTTCCTTCCGAGGCCCCTTCTCCTCCTCTATGATGAAGTTACGTCCCCCATCTGCCTCTTCTCGGGACGGTCTTAGCATGTGACGTCTCTGCCTTTCCATCTGCTTCTCTTCCATCTCCTCCATGTCCACATTCTGATGGAGATTCTGCGAGCCACTGGACTGATCTGCCTCAAGCGCTGGCCCCAGAAGCTCCACCTCTGTCTCAGGTGGATCAGGCGGCAAGGAGCTCCAGGTGACCTCCAGCATTCTCAGGGCATCATCAAAAGCGAATTCACGCTTCAGCTCCAAAAGCAGCCAGCGGTAACAGAAAAACAGATCGTCTGCACCTTTTGAGACTAGGTAGGCATAAAACTCAGGGTCTGAGTACTGCAGAAGCAACTTGAGATGCTGGAACTTAATGGACATAAGTTGTCCGTCAGGGCGGAAGTTGCCCTCAAGACGTTTCATAATGCCACAGAAGCAGATAAAGGCATGAGCTTCGTTGTCCATGACGGCGAGGATTGGCGAGGCAATGTCACTCATGCCTTGGCAATAAGACACCTGTGAATGCAAATGAGGACCGTTTATTTAGGTAAAGGCACATCCTAGTGTTATTGAAGGGTATTACTGCGTGTTTACCTGTGGGTGTGTAATAGCAAAGGTGGTGAGGAGGTCTGTCAAGGCAGTGAGATGTGGGCTGTCCTCTGAGCCTGCGTAGTAAGGATGTGCTCGGTCTGTTCGAAGAACATCTTTCAGAACGTTTCCCCTGATGAACTCCAAGTCCTCTGCGCTGACCCGTTCTGTCCATTCGCTCTTCAGCTGGTCGTACTCTCTTGTCTTCCTCTTCATGTAGTCCATTCTCTCTTGTCCTGTCAGACCATCTGGGTACACATTAAGGAGGTATCGCCAAACAACCTGTCACAAAAATACAGATGAAAGAGAAAAATTCAGCAAAAAAGTGGACTGCCTGCCACATCAGACTCTTTAAAAAGCTTTTTATTTTAATTTTTTATGTGCACATTATTATTTTATGCACATATGATATAAAATAATCCATAATGTGAAGTATGGTATTAAATTATATAGAATATTTTTCCAGCCCTGAATACAAATAACTGAGTGTTTTATTAGCTTTTAATTAAATAAATATTATTAAAAAAATAAAAGACATTAACTATAATAATTTGTATTCAGAGCTAAAACAAAATATATATACAGAAAGTAATAAAATAATATCCTTTAGTGGTAGATTAGTTAAAAGGGGCCATGAACTGAGAAATCAAAATTCCCTTGATCTTTTGACATTTAAGAGGTCATTGTGCTATAAAAACATCCTGTAAGTTTCAGAATTCAAAACTTTCTCATAAGTCTAAAATCAGCTTATATTGAAGCCAATCTGCCAAAACGGTAAGTTGTGGAATGTGCCACTTTATGTGGATTCGTTTACAAACAAGGCAGAGTTTGACACAGGATTTTCAGAAAGATTGAAAGACGATGATGTGTCGACTATATTGGATCCGACAGTAATGTTGCAAAACATTTTTTTTAGTTTTTTTCAATTTTGTTGCAAACCACATTTGCAAAGTGTTACGTGGTCACTCTAGCTTTGTCTGTTATTACAGATCGTTTGATATGTGCTGAGTATTCATGCGTTTTTAACCTAAATCACAAAAGCCTCCATCTATAAAGGATGTACACTGTCAATCATACACAACTGTTAGCCAATCGTACCAGTAGGCTTTTATTTCTGAGTCTACAATCTGCCACGCCTATTCAAACAGAGCGTTCTGATGAGGGGGGTCAAAACAGGCCAGAAAATAGCCTATTACTTTTAAATTATGATATTTCTGAGGTAAAAATCTTGATAACATTATAAGTGCAACTCAGAGAACAGTAAAAAATAAAAAACAAAGGCAGTTCTTGGCCCCTTTAAAAAAAAAGCCAAGTCAGTCTGGTTACCTTGCGTAAGGATGGATCAACTCCACCATGATATATACGAAGTCTAAGTTCCTCTGGTCGGGTCAGTTGACCTTGGCTGTTCAGGTAACTGTGGAACTCAGCATCACTTAAAGGAGGCTTGAATGGTTTCACCTCCTCCCCATAGGACCAACTCAAGGCCTGCTGCACACGTGATAGAGTGCGACCCACCTAAATGTGAAGGTAGTTACAAAGTGAGAAATAGACATAAAAATGTTCACTATTTATATAGACTTCTAGCAAAAATCTATGGTATTAGGTGGAAGACAGGTGGAAAGAAACATTCCTATCACATAAGATATCTGGCCCATGATTAATTAGCTATCAGTGAGATAGAGGAAAATATTCCCTCTATCTTCAAATTAATATATCAGTTTGTAAGCACAAAGCTGCTTCTTACAAGAGGGCATCAAGGACTCCTGAAATATCTAATGACTTCAACTGTTTGAGGGTAATTGCCATTAATTACAGTATCAAGGCAGTAGACTGTGAATCTGACTGACTGCAGCAGACACTAGCTGGTAAAACAGCTGGCTGATAGGGTGAAGAACATCATGAGTAACCTGGGACAGCAGTGACTGTGTGAAAGGAAGTGCGGCAGAAGCCAACGACCTCTTCTCTCCCTGCAACTGGTCTGAGCCAATCACATCCTTAGGGCTGATTATGTCCCAGTCCTCCAAAACAGGACCTTAGGAAGAATATGGTGGGAAATAATTAAAGAATAATGATAATTTTTCGAGGCTGGATTAGTTTTATTTACAGGTAAATGCAGAATGTTAAAAGGGTCATATGATGCGATTTCAAGTTTGCCTTTCTCTTTGGAGTGTTACAAGCTGTTCGTGAATAGATAAGATCCCTGAAGTTGCAAAGACTAAAGTCTCAAAACCAAAGAGATATTCTTTATCAAAGTTAAGACTCTGCCACGCCCCCCTAAAATGGCTCGTTCTAACACGCCCCCACATATCTAGGTCACTATGTGGGAATACTTGCATAATGCCGCCCAAATGTGCACGCAAAGAAAGAAGGCGTGGTTTCAGTAACCGCAGTTAGTGTTGAAGCAGCATGTCAGGGAGACGCTGTGTGTTTCTAGGCGAAAGCAAAAGCACTTTATTTGGCCTTCCGAAAGTAGATGCATTTAGGAATCTTTAAGATTACTTACAACAGAACAGCAATGCATTTTATGGACGACCGTTTCGTGAACCTAGGAGAGGAGGTAATTCAGAATCAGCTACTGTTTTGTTATTAGCATAAGTATTTGCTATTGACTGTTCAAATGCGGAGTTTTGCGCGTTGTGTGTGTGTGTGTGTGTGCGTGTGCGTGTGCGTGTGTGTGTGTGTGTGTGTGCGCGCGCGCGAGAGACCAGCTTTATCACTGTGTCTGTCACACGACTCTGTTCCCCTTTCGGGCTCTGTCTTTACATTTATTTTGAAAGATGAAGCTCGCGATTATGGTAAGGGGCGTTACATTTCCGACGAGTGCTTGCGGTGTTCGGCCAATCACAAAGCACTGAGTCAGCTGGCCAATCACAGCAGACTGCGCTTGTCGGAAGGAGGGACTTTGTAGAAAACGAAGCGTTTGAGAGAGGCGGGGCATAGAGGACCAACAATAATGTACAGTATTTGAACATTAAAGCATGTCAACATATTCTGTTACACCAAATACACAAAATAATGATCTTTAAAAAAAGCATCATATGACCCCTTTTAAATAATTATTGTAACCAATATATACAATATGTAGACTCTACAAAACAACAAACATAGTGGAAAAAATATGCATATTCTCAGGACAACGCACAATCATTTGAAATGAACAGCAACTACCAAAAAACAACTTATAATTACACAGTTTTTTATTTATTGATTGACCGATTATTGATTTGTGGGTAGTGAATGACTAAACTGGAGAAATCATAAGGGAGGCAGAGCAGTCAAAGATTTTCAGAATCTACTGAGTTTGACAGACATTTAATACTGTCCAAATAGAAGGATGTGGAGTTCACTCACTGTCCTCTGATGGTTTGATGTCCATCTTGAGCTGGAGGAAAGGCTTTGCCGCACTGACAAACGCTGCATCTAAATCCCAGTCAGACAGCAGAGACACGTAGACCTCCACACCTCCATGGTCACGGGACAGGTAACTTATCCCAAAGTTGCGTTTCCTACAGGGAACCAAAGAAAAACGACAAAGAAAAATTGTTACCACTGTATTTTTTTTTATAGATCTAAATGACAATTAGCACAAAACAAATACATTTTGCAATTTCACACTCACCCATTCAGCTCAAATGCTCGTATCAGGATATGCTGCAACACCTCCAGTGAGGTTATTTGAGGATCAACAGCAAAGGAGCGGAACTCCACCGGTAACACCCCTTCACACTTCTGCAAACAGAGATTTTAAAAGGTAAAATTTTAGAAAAACAAAGAAAATGGGTAACACCGCCTATTTTACATAACCCTGCGTTGTTAATTATCTCAAGGTCCTGAAAGGCTAATCACTCTATCCTCTGAAATGCAAATCACCTAATCAGGTGACATTATTTATTCAGGTGGATTTACTGCCCATTGAGTCTCTATCAATGTTGCAACCAACCATGGGAAACTGACTCTGGCTGTACAGATTGCTTTGAGTTTGAACTTTACTAACACGTGCTAAAACACCTGCAAAACACAGCACGACAAGGTCATCTGTCCCAAGCAGAGCATATTGCAGCACATCTGTCAAGGTTCACACTGAACCTAAATTCTTTAATTATTCCAAAATGTTAACTTCAGTTGCCATTTGATACTGACTCTTGAGTGCTGGGACAAATCAAGATATGAAACTTATTCAAGGAATAATTCAAATTGTTCCGAAATATTCACTCATGTGTAGGTGCGTCTCCAGCTTTTTTTTTTCTCCCTTGCCAAAATGTGGTTTACTTGTTATATCAGTATTTCTTATTTACTATCATAGCATTTATTCATATTTTGAATTATATTTTAATTTTAAGTTTATCCAATGTTTATGTTTTTGTCATTTTTATTAGTTTGTATATACTTCTATTAAGCCTTACTTTGTTTATTTCAGTTAGAGTAATTTTAGCACTTAAACTTTTTTAAGTGAATTTTAGAAATTCACTAAGTTGTTTCATCTAATATTTATATTTTGTGTTGTTTAGCTTTGTTTTAGTTATTGAAAATTAATAGTTTTAGTTAACAATAACACTGTATCATTATGGATCAACACTGTGAGAAACAGAAGTTATGTGGCATAAATCATGACAAATCTAGTATTCACTTCCATGAACTAATGAATTGATGCTACAGGGTGGTTTCAAACTGATTTGCAGTCATCACAGTCAGGCACAGAAAATCTTGAAAATACTGACATAACCATATTTCATACATATTAACATTTCATACGTATTAAATAGCATTTTGTTTGTAAAAATGACAAATTACTTATGTACAAGCTGTGTGACAGCTGACAAGAAAAAACATGCATGTTGCCTACAACTATATAATTGAGTAATTGGGAAATCTTGTCATTAAAATAGCAGATCATTTTTATCCCATGTCTCAAGAATTAGTGTCATGGCAGTGATTAATCAAAAGCTCACTGTGATTAAACTAAAATTCAGTGACCTACATTCTCGTCTAAAGAGACTTCTTAAAAAACAGAGGTGCTGTTTTAAAATGGGCCAGCATGTAAAGTGCCATTAATCATTTATGGCGATTCTCTTAGGCCTGTATCTGAAACAATACCTACATGGCTTTCAAAAAGCGGATACACTGCTTTTCGTATTCATTACAGCAGACCTGAGAAATGACTGAAAACCAAGCGAGGGAATTCATGGCAGGTTGATCGTGTGACACTTGAGAGCAAACATGACTCACTATCAGGTCAGCGGTATATATTTGTGTACGTTTTTCTCTTTACGACGTGGCTTCACAAATAAATATACAAACATAAACATTATTACAATAACACAGAATAACGATAACGACATAACTGCACATGATTAACGTGTATATGTCGAACAAGTATATGACAAAAACAACTAAACATAACTAAAACAAATTAAATAGAACGACAAATGAACATATTTCTACAAAAAGTGTGTGTCACCTAAGGATTAAAGCAATACGATTATTACACACCCTTAAAAAATGCACGTATGCCCAAGTAAACTAATGATCAAGATGCGGTCACGATTTGTAAACAACAAAGATGCCAGCGAAATCAAGCGATGGACATGAAGACCAGGGCTGTTTAAAAAGCTCCTCGACAGACGCAGACACGCAACCAGACACTGTCTCCTGGCCTGGCTGGACTACGTGGACTGCTGTCTGTGTGTGTGTGTTGTGTGTGTGTGTGTGTGCCGCTGTGCATGTTGCCTACAACTATATAATTGAGTAATTGGGAAATCTTGTCATTAAAATAGCAGATCATTTTTATCCCATGTCTCAAGAATTAGTGTCATGGCAGTGATTAATCAAAAGCTCACTGTGATTAAACTAAAATTCAGTGACCTACATTCTCGTCTAAAGAGACTTCTTAAAAAACAGAGGTGCTGTTTTAAAATGGGCCAGCATGTAAAGTGCCATTAATCATTTATGGCGATTCTCTTAGGCCTGTATCTGAAACAATACCTACATGGCTTTCAAAAAGCGGATACACTGCTTTTCGTATTCATTACAGCAGACCTGAGAAATGACTGAAAACCAAGCGAGGGAATTCATGGCAGGTTGATCGTGTGACACTTGAGAGCAAACATGACTCACTATCAGGTCAGCGGTATATATTTGTGTACGTTTTTCTCTTTACGACGTGGCTTCACAAATAAATATACAAACATAAACATTATTACAATAACACAGAATAACGATAACGACATAACTGCACATGATTAACGTGTATATGTCGAACAAGTATATGACAAAAACAACTAAACATAACTAAAACAAATTAAATAGAACGACAAATGAACATATTTCTACAAAAAGTGTGTGTCACCTAAGGATTAAAGCAATACGATTATTACACACCCTTAAAAAATGCACGTATGCCCAAGTAAACTAATGATCAAGATGCGGTCACGATTTGTAAACAACAAAGATGCCAGCGAAATCAAGCGATGGACATGAAGACCAGGGCTGTATAAAAAGCTCCTCGACAGACGCAGACACGCAACCAGACACTGTCTCCTGGCCTGGCTGGACTACGTGGACTGCTGTCGTGTGTGTAATCGTGTCCCGAGTGTGTGAGTGTGTGTGTGTGTGTGTGTGTAAAATCGTGTCCTGTGTGTGTGTGTGAGCGTGTCCTGGGTGTGTGGGTGTGTGTGTGTGTGTGTGTGTGTGTGTGTGTGTGCGTGTGTGTGTGTGCCGCTGTGCGTGTGTGTGTGTGTGCCGCTGTGTTGCTGTGCGTGTGTGTGTGTGTGTGTGTGTGTTGCTGTGTGTGTGGTTGGTTAGGGATTGTACCTGCCACTCGGTCCCCACAATTTCTCACCTTGACTTTGACACGAACTACCCCCCTCTCCTCCTCAGCCGACATGGTGGGTAGTCCGCTTTGGGGGTCCCGTTCAGAGATGCGTTGTCGTCATCCAGTAAAAAAAATTAAAAGTACAATAACAATGGATGCGGTTACCCGTTCCTCCTCTTACTGCTAGTAGGCAGGTTCAATGAAAACTCCATTAACAAGAGACTAAAAAAACAACCAATATCCTGCTGATACGTTTCAAAATAAAAGCCCCGGTACAAGACAGCAAAAGGCTTTCGTTTTTAAAAATTGGAATGTTTGACTGTATTTTATGTCAGGTCGGGTATGATTGACTCGGGGAACCAGAGCTTCGTCTATTTAGATCAATGATCATGACATAAGTAAGAAGGCATTACGTTTGCCACGTGAGTTAACAGCAACAGGATATGACGCCACTTTGGCATTACATCATTGGATTCATCGGGGAATGCATAATGCATGAACAACAAAAGGAAAACAAAATATTCAACGACGATTTACGGGCAGACAGATGCAGACATTTAGCTATTATTTAAATGGATTAAAAAAAATATGTCTTACATTCACCGTTGACAAATAGTATTAAGCTATATGCTAATAAATAAAATATTCTCAAGTATTTTTTATAAGCAAATATATCTACACAAAGATGTTTGTGCATGAATTCCATAATGAAGTAGCAGTAGGCGTTTTATCATCCATAGCACAAACAAAAAAAAAACAACAGTTTCCACTGTTATGCCAATGATACTCAACTATATATCTCAGCAAGACCAGATGAAACTTCTAAATTATCTAAGCTAACAGAGTGTGTTAAAAATGTAAAAGATTGGATGACCAATAATTTTCTCCTATTAAATTCGGATAAGACAGAGATATTACTTATTGGACCAAAAGACAGTACACCAAATCTCGTGGATTACAATTTGCAACTAGACCCAATTTGCACTGTTACTTCCTCTACAGTCAAAAATCTGGGTGTTATATTAGATAGCAACTTGTCTTTTGAAAATCATATTTCCCATGTTACAAAAACAGCATTCTTCCATCTTAGAAACATTGCCAAGCTACGAAACATGTTACCTGTTTCTGATGCAGAAAAGCTAGTTCATGCATTCATGACCTCTAGACTGGACTATTGTAATGCACTGCTAGGTGGTTGTCCTGCATCTTCAATAAACAAGCTACAGGTAGTCCAAAATGCAGCGGCTAGAGTCCTTACCAGGTCAAGAAAATATGATCATATTACCCCAATTTTACAGTCTCTGCACTGGCTACCTGTTAAGTTCCGTATCAGTTACAAAATATTATTACTTGCCTATAAGGCCCTTAATGGGTTAGCTCCTGCGTAACTAACTAGTCTTCTACCATGCTACAATCCATCACGCTCCCTAAGGTCGCAAAATTCTGGACTTTTGGTAGTACCTAGGATATCAAAGTCCACTAAAGGAGGTAGAGCTTTTTCGCATTTGGCTCCCAAACTCTGGAATAGCCTTCCTGATACCGTTCGGGGTTCAGACACACTCTCTCTGTTTAAATCTAGATTAAAGACACATCTCTTTGGCCAAGCATTCAAATAATGCATCTCATAATCTTTTACTGCAGTCATAATCTTTTACTGCAGTTATATCTGATCAAATGCACATTATTATTCGTTAGTTTGGGTTAAACAAATCATTTTTGCTTGGTTGGAACAGCAGCTATGCTAATTATGTTTGTATGTGTTTCTCTGTTTCTGCTGGGATTGACATCCCGTGGTAACTAGGATTTACACAAGCTTCAGTCTGGATCCAGAACACCTGAGAAGAGATGATGCAACTCCTCAGAGGACCTCAGATGATGCCAACCCTGAAACAACATCCAGAACTACCACATTTTGCTATAAGTTTGATTGCATCATATAATAATTGCTGTTAATATTGTTCATCGTCTGTTTTATTACGTCTTATATTGATTTTTCCGTTCTGCTGGTTCGTCTGGTCAGAGGAGAACTGGCCCCCCGACTGAGCCTGGTTTCTCCCAAGGTTTTTTCTCCATTCTGTCACCGATGGAGCTTTGGTTCCTTGCCGCTGTCGCCTCTGGCTTGCTTAGTTGGGGACACTTCATTTCCAGCGATATCGTTGACTTGATTGCAAAGATATTATTTAAACTGAGCTGGATGTTGACATCACTGAATTCAATGATGAACTGTCTTTAACTGAAAAATGAGAGTTTACTATTGTCATTTTGCATTATTGACACACTATTTTCCTAATTAATGCTGTTCAGTTGTTTTGACGCAATCTGTATTGTTAAAAGCGCTATATAAATAAAGGTGACTTGACTTGACAAAAGAACTCGCTTTTGCCGTGACCCGGATTCGAACCGGGGTTGCTGCGGCCACAACGCAGAGTACTAACCACTATACGATCACGGCGAGCTACTCAGCAGCTGCGCACAAGCGGCAGTTTTAGACCATATAATTTCAGATCTCAGCGAGCTACTCGGCACCTCGCCGATGATTTTGTGAATATACTGATACTTTTTTTTTTAGGATTCTTTGATGAAAGAAAAGCGTTTAAAATAGAAATCTTTTGTAACATTATACAGCGTCTTTTTACTATAATTTCTGATCAATTTCTACCTTTGCTGAATAAAAGTATCAATTTCTTTAAAATTCCCAAACTCCGGAATGGCAGTGCATCAAGGTTTCCTAAAAAATAATAAGCTGTTTGTAACATTGACAATATTACATCTTTTAGAATAATTTCTGAAAGATCATGTATGGAGATAGAATGCACGGGACGCGATTCACAAATAAATGCCAGGCAAAGTTGTGGTTGTGACATAAATATGTAGTTGTGAATGTTTTTTTTATTTGCAAATCTCATTTTATTTATGAATTTAATTAATGTTTGTGAAACTTTGATTTATTTGTGGATCTCATTCCATTTATTTGTCAATGTGTTTAATGTTTGTTCATCTCTTTACATTTAGCTATGGATCGTAATCTATTTATTTAGAATTAAGCAACAATTCTATCTCCATAATCATGTGAGACTGAAGACTGTAGTAATGGCTTTTTTTCTATCACATGAAAAAATTACATGTATTTATTTATAATTACATTCTAAAACAATATTTCAACAGAAAATCATTATTGTAGTAATAATTCACTTTTTCACAACTTTTAAAAGATGTGGGTTAGGTGTTTCATTTCTTAAAGTTAAAACAAACCAACATGACGAATATTAAGACAAAGCCTTTTATTAGATTTTTTAAATTGTAGACTAAGTACATACAAAAGATGAGATCTTTCTTGTTCCTGGAAAACTGAATTTAGCAGCATAGCTATTCACAGATTTAACTGTAAGCAAACAATGCTCTGATTGTACAGAAGCTTAGTCTAAAGCCACAAACAGTGAGGGCTTGCAAGGTCAAAAATAACAACAGCATTTGGTTTGGCCCTCCAGGAGCTTCCAAGTATGTAAATACAGCTGTCATTTAAAAAACATTATAATTTCTCTACTAAATAATAAGCTGTGGAGACTGGTATTACTTGCACATATTTAAACTTTTATGAGGCTTGGCTACATGATTAATGTAGTGTGGGGAAGGTAAGTAACATTAAAACACCAATCTATGAAGCTATTTGACCTAATCGCACTTGTAATCAGACCTACTGTATTTGTAACTCATATTGTGCATTTTTGGCCAGCGGCTTAATACTTTGGCCTACCAGAGTAAACAAAGTCTGGGTACTCCAAGTATAGTTTCACTCCTCCTGCTATCATGATTCATGTTAATACAAACATCACCCTGTTGCAACTACAAAACTCATGACATACAGGTTTAATCTACAAAACTAAAAAAAGAGAGAACTGTAAACCACTTAGCATCTAAATATGATTAGTAAGACGTAATGCAACAGCATCAAATGTAAAAAAGTTAGAGATAAGAACACAAGGATAAGTTCATCAACAAGCCCGTCTTTAGCTGTCCAAGGCTTGAGAACATTGAGACGCATTGCAACATAACATCCAGCAGGTGGCCCCATTGTATGTGGCGTTCATGCAAAAAGTGCCACGTCTCCAATGCTATAGATAGAGACACAAACACACACCCCTCATTTCACTATTCAGTTCATATTTGCACATTAAACCTTTGGCGGTTTTAACGAATATGGGCCATCTCTTCTAAGAAGGGTGTCTTCATGCAGCCAGTGCAGAGCTGGTCCATCCAGAGGGGGGCTTCGTGCTGCAAGGGCGTTCGGCGAGGGTAAAAGGTGTATGAGAGGTCGTAGTTCAGCAGGCAGCTGATAGAGGCCATGTAGAGGTCTGAGAAACGGCACAGGCGGCGGGAAAAGTAGGTGGGGTTGTGGCAGGTACGGAATATGCTGCCAAAGTGAGGGTTGAAGAGGTTCTTGGTGACTGCCCTGTAAAAGGAAATTGGGAGACGAGTTACAATGGCTATAGTCCTTGATCTGTTCATCAAGCGAGTTCAAGAATTTGTCTTTTTGTCTGGTTTTACTCACCGTAGCTCCTCTCTCTCTTTCAGCCACTCCTGCAGAACCTCCTTGGACTCAGGCTCCCGATACATCTGAAAATCAAGACGGAAATAAGTCACTTGTCCAAAGAAAATGTTTTTTTTTTCTTCTGCAGATCAACAGGGAAAACTTTTGGAAGATGACCTTACATACACACACATATATATACACACACACACACACACACATATATATATACACACGCACACACACACACACACACATATATATATATAATATAATATAATATAATATAAACTATCATTCAAAAGTTTTAGGGTAAATAAGATTTTTTTTTTTTGGAAGAAAATAATATTTTTATTCAGCAAGTGATACTAAAAACACTTTTAATGTTACAAAATATTTCTTTTTGAAATAAATATTCTTTTGAACTTTCTATTTATATAAAAAAAATCCTGAAAATAAAACCATCACATTTGCACAAAAATATTAGGTAGCACAATTGTTTTAAACATTGATAATAAGAATTGTTTAAGCACCAAATTAGCATATTAAAGATTTCATATTTACAATCGCAGGAATAAATCACATTCTAAATTATATTCAAACAGAAAACAGTCTGAAATTGTAATATTTCACAATATCACATATTTTCCTGTACTTGTATTTTTTTTATCAAATAAAAACAACCTTGGTGAGCATGAAAACTGATCACTTCAGGTGATACAGATATGGATTTTATAGTAACAATGTCTGTTTAAATTTTAAATTTTATTCCTTTTCATCCAAAACCCAAATTCTATAGCATTTTGAGAGGCTTAAATTTTAGTGTAGCACAATTTAAAACGATTATCACCCAAAACCTTGACAGAATATGGGGTCGAATGCATTCTGGATTACGTACACAGAAAAACCGATCACACCAAACTTTTCTTACATAGAGATCTAATTTTAGAGAAGAACACTCAATTCAGATCAATGTAAAGCGAATGGACCGCTGCCAAACCTATCAGATCATTCCTATGCAACCACATACTGTAGAAGCACATGTAATGCAGATGTGTTTATTTTGCTCTCATTTGTTCTCTAGAAACTCACTTACAGATATACTGTAATATTTAGATATACTGAGATATTTTTTAAATTAAGAAAATGAAGAAAGTTTGAATAATTATAATAAAAGTTTTTTTTTACTTTAACATGAAATTGAATTAAAAAGTAGACATTCATCAGGATAAATATTTTTCTATTCTAAACAGGAAGAGTGTACCTGCATGCGCTCCAGCAGTCCGGTGAGCGCCTGCAACCACGTGAGACTTTGAGCGTACTGCTCAGTGTTCACCACCTTCGTCTCTACCTCAAGTTCAGGCACGATCGCTCCCGTCCTCCACCCATGACGCAGCATCAGGTCCTAAAATGCCAGGACAGGATGTTTAGACTATGAGCCACTTCAAGAACCTTTTAACATTTACTGTTACTGTTTGACTCTGTAAACCAGTGATTATGAAAACTACAGGCTGAGATTTACTTCCACTGTTGTTGGAATCACTGAGCTGAAAGAGTAAAAACAAAAGGAAGAGACATATGCGCAACAAATGTGAACAAAACAGAAGCATGATGATGACTCACTGCCAAGTCACTGTAGAGATGATCTCCAAAATAGAAAACCTTGGATCCTCGCCATCCTGTTAGCTTCAGAAAATCCACAAGGTTTCCCTGAAACAAAGCAAAACAATGGCAGTTTTATTAGCCAGCTGCTACTATTGCGACTGATTTGTAATTTCTAGGTTTTGAACTAGAAATTACAACACGCTGCACCCCCACCCCCAGTCGGGCTTAGCCTCGGTTCTGGTCAGCCAAGTCTGTTTGTACACGCCTGACACCACTAAACTGTGTTCAATTGATTTTCCATTCAGTTTGAAGTTGACCTTGACACTTTCTTTTCTACTTTTTCCAAATGAAAGTGCCTAATTAAGTGGATAAATCATTCTACAATTAACAGACACTCAGTGCTGAGCTGGAAAGATTTGGGTCTATTCTCACAGGGACAGGAAAATGTTAACCATGTAAACTTTAAAATAACATGTTTTTGCACGTTGAGAACTTATAAATGTCCCAGTAATTCTGAAAATATTTCACCAGATGTATTTGTAATCTCTGACTTAATTCAGACTCAGAGATGAGTAAGCATTAATGATGTACCAACTAAAAGCTTCTCCTCTGCCTGTATTGCTCATAATCATCTTACCCGAATAAACAGACATGATGCAGGGCAAAACAAATCTGTGTTACCTGTTTATAGATCTGTCCCTTATCCAGACTCTTGATTCTATCCCACTGTAAGTCTCCATTGCTGTCCAAACGTCTAAATGGTCTGGAAAATTAAGAGATAGAGATGCTTTAAATCACTGCAAAGTGGCAAGTAATAAAACGAAAAACACTCATGCTGGAGAAAATAAAACGTTATTGGGAACCAATACATTACTGTTTATTATCCATTAAAGTCTGGGGTCAGTCTTTTTTTAAAAACAAACAAATACTTTTATTTGGCAAGGATGGTAAATTGATCATAAGTGACAAAGATATTTATAATGTCATAAAATACTTCTTTCAAACAAATGCTTTTGTTTTGAACTTTCCATTAATCAAAGAATACTGAAACTTTATCACCAATTCCACAACAATATTAAACACTACTACGGTTTTCAACATTGATAATAATAATAATAAATGCTTCTTGAGTACAAAATCAGCATATCAGAATGATTTCTGAAGGATCATTGACACTGAAGACTAGAGTAACGGCTGCTGGAAATTCAGCTTTGCAATCACAGGAATAAATGTAATTTAAAAGTGTATTATAACAAAACTTAAGATTTTACAATATTACAGTTGTAGTTTTTTTTAATCAAATAAATGCAGTAGGGGTGTCCCCGACTAAGGATTTTCATAGTCGAATCGGAATTTTCGAATCTTGCCGATATTCGACCGATAGTCGAATCATATGTTTTGGGGGCGGGGCAAAATACATTACTAAGAGTCAAGTTAGACATTCAACAATCATAATTACGTTAACACACAGGTAAAATGTGTAACGGACGCCTCGCAGATACAAACGGGGGAAATAATGTTTTATGTTTTGATTAAAAGATAGTTAACATTAAACGTCAGCGAAACCCTAAGAATTCACAACATTTTTTACAATAGTGCTCTCATTATAACGTTATGTATATGACAGTAGTTATTAATGTTCTGCATTTCTGTTTTGAGCTGCGCGTCCTGAAGATGACCAGTAGAATGAAGTATTTGATAGCAGGTTTTTAATCAATGTGATTTAACTCATCATTTATCTCATATAGAATACACTTCCTTATTTATACAACATAACGTATATATTACGACTTATAGGCTATCCGCACAAAATGCCCCGAATGCACAAATGTGTCCGCGCGGCTCTGAATGAACTCCTTCACACAACAACTTGCAGAAACACAGCAACGAAACTCTAAAAATTCAGCGTTTTATTATAATAGTGTTCTCATTATAATTGTTATGTATATGACAGTCCCAGTCATAGTTATTAATATTCTGCATTGTTGTTTGTCCTGCTCATGCTGCGCACTGAAGAGATAATCTGCAGCGCAAATCAACCAAATGCATCTTATATGAGATAAATAATATATACACATATACCGGCTGAAATGTTTTTAAATCACTTGTACCCTATACCTGATTGAAAAAATCCAGTCTTTCACTATGCCTGTGTCAATTTGAGTCTTGTTAAAGATTTAAATCCCTGCCGCCAAGATGCTCCTCTGTTGGTCACGGATTATGGAAAGTGAAACTTAAATCTATAGGGGTGGTTGGATTTATTCACGTACGTTAAAGTATTTATTTGAAGCTTCTTTCTTTTCAGATTCTTATTTACAGCATTATTTTAATAGGCTGCATATTAACTTATTGGGAGAAAACCAGTAGTTCTATGTGAAATCAGACATTTGAGCGCCCCCATATAGCCAAAATGGCTTGATCATAACACCCCGCGAATATTCGACTGTAGGATTGGTAGTTGAATCAGGCTCCTCTTATCGAAGCATCGAATCTTCGACTATTCGGGGTCACCCCTAAAATGCAGCCTTAAATAATATTATATATTATGAATCACCTCTTTTAAAGTGCGCAATGAAACATTTGAAAGCAGACCTCTCAAATGACTGTAAATTATATATTTTCCATTAACAATAAAGCAGACTTACTTTAAGCAGTCATTAAAAAAATGAGGTTTGTCAGCTTGAACAATGACAACGTCAAAGAAGTCCCTCCACTCCTTTCCAACCATGTACTTCATGCCTTTATCACTGAAAAAATACCGGGGGGAAAAGCATAATTACATAACAATAACAGTGCAAAAATAATAAATAAAAACATATAAGATAATGTTTAAACTTATGACTATGTGAGAAAATGATCTGGGACCAGAAATAATTAGGGGTTCAAAATAAATGATCATTGTTTTAAATACATGTACTTTTTTTCAAAATTGTATGGAGAAGTTCTGAGTTGTACTTTGAGATCCTTTATGAATGAATCTGCTGAATATAATAAAACAGAAAAGAAACTCACACAAAGCTGAAGGGGCTGTTGGTAATCAGGAAAAGCTTCTTCCCATGACTGGCCAGCCGGTGCAACACAGCGTATGTTTCGTCTCCTCTGAGAATGTATTTCTCTGGGGACCGAATAAGGAAGGAAAAGGGGCCACAAAAGGAAGAAAAATGAGGGCCTTTTAAAACCAAGTCTATTCTATTCTGACTAAAACCAAATCAGTCATTTTTGCAGACTATGATGAATGTAAAACAGAATCTGATCAAATCTATTTTCCTGTTTGCCTACAAAGTGTTTATACTGCAATGGAAAATCTGTGATAAGGATTTGCAGGTTGCCTGCTTGTCCGCAGGGATCCAACAAACATTAAAACCAAAGATTAGACTGTGCTAGCCCAACAGAACTGCTTGCTTCAAATCTCATTCTCCAGAGAGGTCTGATTATGCAACCGTCTGCTCTGAAAACAAAAGACTGCTTTCCACACATATACACACCACATATACACAATGCACAGACTGGGTCGGGAGAGTCAACTTCAAGTCTGGTTGTCATTAGCTTCAGGTTTCAATAACATGATCTTTACTTGGCTCAGCACAAATCTTACTTTATCTAAGTTTTTAAACCATTTTTGTGCCACATGTTTGGGTAATGCACATAGTAATATTGGTTCATACTCACCAAGATCTTGCATGATCCATTTGTACATGTAACCCTTGATATGCACCATTCCAATTGCATCCTGAAAAGACAGAATTCGTCCATTAATTCAGTGCTCATATTTCTCAAACTATAAGAGTTTAACAAACTCTAACAGGAATCTTCGTGAACCAGTGCTTAAAATGTGCAGTAGGAGATCTTGGAAAATGCTAACTTTAGCCATATATCACTAAAGGGCAAACGTCCCACCCTCCCTGCAAATTGCAGTCCAAAGCCATGCCCACTAAAGGCCAGACGACCAGAGACAACATTACTACAATAAATCATGTGTTATTCACCAGTGAGAAAAATTCATAGTACAGTTAAAAGTACTACAATGCCAGGAAGGAAGGTCAGGTTGTTGATGCTTGCCCATGGCTTAGCCTTCCCCTGGCCACAGGTCTGGAATTAACGCGGGCTTGGGGCAAAAATGCCACCAAATTGGACAAATATACCCCTGTACAATTAAACTAAATATATTAAGGATGTCATGAATAAAGCGAAAATGAAATGAAAAATGTAAAGACCGGCAATAGATCTGCTAATGATGCATCAAATTATGTGTTTTTACAGCGTTCTGCATTATATCCAATCACACACGATTCTGTTGAGCTTATGAATGCAATGGCCAATCAGAGGTGTTCAGATGAGTCATCGCTGAAACTCCCGAGTTGTGTTGAGTGTGCACACGCTGACTGAATTCTAAACTCTCGCGAATTCTCTCATCATAAACAACAGTGGAAATGTACCTACGATGTAAGAGATTCTTTTGACATTGTAGGCAGCTTTATTGATTATAACGGGGGAGTTTTTGAGCATGCTTAAACTCGCGCTAGACTGAAGTCAGTCATCATGTTCTTTGATAATGTAATGTTCTTGTTCTTTGCTTGCTTTTTGTATATCATTTTTGTGCTGTTTGAATAACCGTGGAAATGAAAGCGTTATAATTAGAAACTTACAATGTTTTTATAAAATTATATTTGACACCCATAGGCCTATCTGGTACAACAGTAATGAATAAGTAAAGCTTCTTTATATGAAAATTACATGCCTTCTCTCAGAGAAGATGAAAGACTGTTGGTCTATTACGAGGAAATTGCAGGTCATATATTTTAATTATCCTTTTAATGCAAAACCTCACACAAACAAAAAAAAAACGTTTAATGTCATTTGAGATGAAGTAATCATTCGCAGCTGCCAAGAGAGTCATCTCAGGGATGGAGAACACATCCATAAACTGCTTCATTTTGGGACCCTGGAACAAATGATAATAAAATGCATGAGTCCTATGTATTTTACAACAGTAATGAATAAGTAAAGCTTCTTTATATGAAAATTACATGCCTTCTCTCAGAGAAGTTGAAAGACTGTTGGTCTATTACGAGGAAATTGCAGGTCATATATTTTAATTATCCTTTTAGTGCAAAACTTCACACAAACAAAAAAAAAACGTTTTCCAGTATTTAACAAAAAAAATTCCAGAGCCATGAATGTGCATGACCATATCAGTCATTAAATAAATTCTGAACGAATCTTCAATGCAGTGGTTCTCAACTGATTTTAAATTGGACATTAAATGGCAATCTAACAGACTGCTAAAAATTTAGTCAAAAAAGTAACCGTATATGTCCATAAAAATCAAACATTATAACAAAATAATAATAATAATTACAAAAACGTTAATCTTTTTTACTACCATAAACTGCAAGGCTTTGACATAAAAATCATAGCCTGTACAATTTAACAGGACAGTTGTGGATGTACCTTTTTTCCCCAACAAAGTTTGAATTTTTTATGTTTTCACTACTTTCTGTAAACTCATCAGAACCACTACTCTAATGAATCATTCATACAGATTTGCAAACCACTTTAAACATTTGAATAAAAATAAATAAATAATAATAATGTTGTTCACAAGTCAGACAATACTAGGCAAGCAAGTTTTATTGCATCCAAAAGCAATAGGTAGCTAACGAAACATTTAGAAACAGAGCATAACCAGAAAAATCCTCATTAAATATCTGACTTTTTCTAGTATGCAAAACACCATTTTATAAATCCCTGATACATTTGTGTTTCCCATGACCTTAGACTTTCTAAGGGACCGTTCACACAGAATGCGTTTTGCATTCCACTGCACTGCTTTCCATTATTTTTCTATGTAAACATACGCTGGGTATACAGACCCGTTTGACCGTTGCGTTGTCTGTTGTTGCATTTGTTTTTTGCAGCGTTTTAAAATCGTCGTGCTATTGTTAAAAGTTCAACTTTAAAGTCCCCGTGAACCGGAAGTTGCTGCCGACTTTATTCCAGTGGCAACATATTTCCTACTGAAATGGAATATTAAATAGAGGGCATGCTTTTATTTTTGCTCTCCTCCTCGGTCTCTCGCTCATAGCAACCTAATGGTTGGAGGGTTGTTTTTAATGATATTCTGCCCAACTTCATCAGAGATTTTGATTAAAGATTACCAGGACAAATATTTTTTTTCAGCAGATTGACTTGCAAGGATTAATTGTTCACATCAAGACTTTCAATGTGGGCTAATAAAGTCATTTTTGATTTCATGCGGACTTTAAACGTGTCCAAACGTTTTTTTTCTTTAATTTAACCCATTCCACAGCCCCGCCTCTCGCGGTTTTAATCGCAAAAACGCGTTCCGTGTGAATAGACCACAAGTGTTTATGTACTAGTTATGTATTTTACTAAATAATAAAGCTTGGTAATTATAATTATTTGGTTTAATAACAATGAAATATGCAAATCAACAGGTTTATATGGCATTAAGTTGGATGTCTTTCTCGGACCTTGTAGTGCTGGACGAGAAACTCTCGCGCCTTGTTGTATATCATCTCGTCCAGCGCGCTGGAATAGAGCGCGAGCGTGTAATCATAGTCAAAGCCGTAGATGTCCACCTCTTCCAGATTCACCTCATTGTTTGCATAGATGGTGGAAGGGTTCAAAAGATTGCACACCCCAGGAGGAATCAAATCTGTGGGGCGGCAAAGGGAGATTTGAGGTTTACTATTACACATTTAAAAGCATGATATGTTTTAATTAAATACTGTTTCTTCTGTGCATAAATAAGGCAATAATGAAAAACCATGTCTCTAACACCTGAAATAGTTGTGAACAAAATGTCGATCAAGCACCGGACATGTGAATGGCAGGTGGCAGTTGTTTACAAAATGTCCAGAGGCCATGCAGCGCCTCTTTGGAACGGAGGAAAAGTGGACAAACATGTTTTGCCATGAGTGAAGAGATTACAGAAAATCACATATGAAAACGCAAATTAAATCAACATACCGTGCACGAGCCGTTTCATCTCATTGTATCTCGCCCACAAGTAGGTTTTATTGTTGATCTGTGGGGCCGTGGATGAGAAAGCCCTGCCAGATTTGTTAAGAGATTCTTCGCCTCTATTTTTGCCCACGATCTGGTGTCTGTGTGATGTGACTGCGGCTGCAACAGGGTTATGATTAGCTGCTAAATTTCTCGTCGGCCCACAGTTGTGTCCATCTTTGCAGCAGTTCTGTCCGTTCATTGTTGCACCAGCCGAGGCGAAGCTTCCACAAGCAAAAGCAGGAATATTCAATCCTGCGCACAGCGAAACTCTGCAAGTGGTGCTTCTTTGCCACATTGCGTTACTTAAACTGCCTATTTTTTTGCAAGCCATGTCTAAACTATACTAACAAAGTTGTTTACTTCTTTCATTCGTACTTGCCCAGCGTGTTAAGTAAGATCGCTTCTGTGGGAACTGATACAGCTTCGCTGAGGGCATCGTTGGGCGGGCGCAAGCTGTCTTATTAACCAATCAAATGCCAGACTTATAATGATTGACAGTTCGTTAAACCAATAAGAGGTGTATTCTGCTGCGTCACTTATCTAGGGGTTTGGTTTAGGAGGAAAACGTGTTTACATGCCAGTCCAACCAATACGTTTCCCTGATGAAAATTTTGCAATATTTCATGCCTTATGATTGGTCAGACGACCTGGCAACTGCCTACATGTGCTACGTGACTGAATATGCTTAGCATACGTTTTGTTCCAGGAGACATAGGCATGCATGTACAAGATGTGACCATAGAAGCCACTGGTTCTACTTCACAAACATACATTTTTTAAAAATGGTTTATATGGTGTTGTTCTACGCGTGTTTCATCGCAGACTACAGGAGTGTTGACAGAAAGGGACAAACACAAAAGGAACGCATTATAACTGGTTTAGTGCAGTAACAAAAAGGCTGATGTAATTAGTTTAGTTACCGCTTTTGATCATGTGTTCGACTTATGTTACTATCTTATCCTAACCGATTGACAAAATTGATTTTTTTATGAGCCCCTTCCGGAAGGCACACTTTGTTCAGCGAGTCGATTTTAGGCCTTGCAGTAAAGAATAAAGTCACGTTTCGCACATATTTCACAAGTTGCCAAAACGTATATACTGGGCTAATCAGCTCAAGAGACATAAAATAAGAAGCGCAGAAAAGCTAAAATGTTGTCACTTTATAGCCACTCATGTCTGAAGTAACTGTTTACAGCTGCATGTATTGATATTCATACAGCATTCATTTGAATGTGTGGAACGGTGCGGTGGCAGCAGGAACGTGTTTTGTCAATATCCCAGGAATATCCTCTGAAACCATGTAGAAACTGAACCTCACGAAACCTGTCAACAAGAAGTAGCATATTTCGCTCCAAAATGTAAATAAAAGAATTTACTTAAACACAATGAAGCTAATTTTAGGACAGTTTTCAGACAATTGTCATTAATCCGGCAGGAACATTTATTTATATATATATATATCCCCTTCAGCTGGAGTGAAATGTGGGTGGCAAATATTTTTGTCAGATTTGATTATCTGACAACTTCCTCAGGACAGTAACTGGTAGCGAAGATGAAAAATTGCCTTAACAATAACAAAGTCAAAAGGTCTAATACCTCATTTTAAGAGTCAACACATCATCCTCAAAACTATTTTGAAGAAAGAAAAAAAAAAGCCTGGACAATAACAACTGGTGGCAATATGGTGAAAAATCAGAACATCTTGTTCAGAGATTAAGCATATGTATACAAGTCATGGTAAATTGCAAAACATTATTTTCGATATCATCTCTCAAATCAAACATTCCAAAAACAGGCATAAACTATGAAATGGTTTTGAAAACCACTTTGATTGGGACAATCATCAGTGTTAGTCAATCAGACACTTGAATGTGTTTAACACAGCTTTCCTAGAAATAACAACTGGTGGCAATATGGTGAAAAATCAGAACATCTTGTTCAGAGATTAAGCAGATGTATACAAGTCATGGTAAATTGCAAAACATTATTTTCGATATCTCTCAAATCAAACATTCCAAAAACAGGCATAAACTATGAAATGGTTTTGAAAACCACTTTGATTGGGACAATCATCAGTGTTAGTCAATCAGACACTTGAATGTGTTTAACACAGCTTTCCTAGTCAGCCTGACAAGTACTTGTCTATCACAGAGGTTCAATGACAGTATAACTTTCAATGAGTATTTGAGCAGCTCTGTGGATCCATCAAAGCCAAACAAACAGATATGTTATCAAATGTATGCTTTAATATGAAACAGGCAAGCTGTTTATGAGTATTCACTTGTTATCAGCCCACTATTCTCCAAGCTGATTCAAATAGCTTGAATTTTCGTAATGTTCATGAGCAGATCAACCCATATGATGAACAACAATCAGAGGTCACTGTTAACAAACACTTTCACGTACATAATATGGTTATCGCCGTATAACAAAGATGTTGTTTTATCAAGCCAAAGCACCGGTACTGGTCTTTCTCAAATTATTGCAGTCCAAGCTTTTTGTTAAAAAACAGAATCTCATCACAATGATCAGAATTAGCTAAACTAACATTTCTTCAAATTTGTGTCATTTTGATGCAAAAAACCTTTGTGTTCAAACCCTCAGTAAAAGCTGAAAGTTGCTAACGTGATGAGGATTATTTCAGATGGAGGGCTGACGCAGATGGGAGACAAACTGACGTCTCTCACAGCAGCGCTCATTTCAGCAGGCCGGGATTTCACTCTGCAGTACCATCGAACAAAGACCGAGCAACAGCTCAGCCTTCCCGGATCTTCGCAGCAAGGGCGGAGTTCTCCTGACGAATGGCCTTGTAGTCTTCAAGGATCTTCTCTAGATTGCTAACTGTTCTTTTGCCATTTTCAGTCTCAATCTACAAAAAATAAATACATAAACTGATGACAGTTGAAAAGTGACAATGAAATGATGTTTGCTTAAATCTAAACATGACTTGGTTTCACACCTGCTCCTCAAGATCTCGGATTTCTCTCATGATGGTTCCTGTGTCTTCAATGGTCTGAATCAGCTGAGTGCAGTTCTGAGAGCACAAAAATGTTAGAATGATTAAGTTGATGATTCTCTTGCAGGACAAAATTGCCTTTAGTTGAGTTGTGTAGTTCAAAGGTTGAACAGATGGACTAAAGTACTGCTAATGGCCTGAGCAAAAGCCACCACATCATGTGCCTTTTTTGTCTGAAATGTTTTTTGCAGGATCACAAGCAGCATACCTTTTGCTCGTCTTGTCACATGAGACGAAAATGTCTTTCAAACACAGTACTTGCATTTTAGCACTACAATGTGCAACTTTTTAAAAAACAATCAAGACCAGGGACAACACCAAAATTTATATTATCACATTTATTTATAGATCTTAATAATATGCAGACTCATACCTCATGTAAGGCAGCCAAGTACTTGTAGGATTTACGGACAGATTCATCTTTCTTGGCATCCTGCAGTTAAAGATTTCAGTTTTTTAATACTGAATTACTATTACAAAACAATGAAAACTACAGATTATATAAGAGGGTCTGAGAGCACATTGAAAAATGAAACAATTTGCAATGTAAAATGTAATGTAGACAATATATTTTATAATTATTTTAAATACACTTTTGTTCAAATGATTTGACTCCTTTAAAAGAAATTAATACTTTTATTCAGCAAAAATACATTCAGCAAAAAGTGCTATTCCTTGAAAAAATGCTGTTCATTTGAACTTTCTATTCAAAGACTCCTACAAAAAAAATCACATTTCCAACAAAAATATTATGCACCACAACCGTTAATGTTTGAGCACCAAATCAGAAAATCAGAATGATTTGACACTAAAAATTCAGCTTTGCTATCTCAGGAAAGAATTACATTTTAAAATATACTAAAGTATAAATCCGTTCTCATAAATTATAATAATATGTAAAAAAATTACTGTTTTTACTGTTCATTGTTGTGTTCATTTATTTTTGATCAAATAAATGCAGCCTTGGTGAGACTTTCAAGAATATGTATACATATATAAAAAATATATAAATATATATTTTATAAATATATATAAAGAACCTTTTAAACGAGACTGACCTTAAACACCAGTTCATCGGTGACAGCAAATGTTCGGTCCAGTTTTCCTGTCAGGCCGTTAATCTCTTTCTGCAAGTCCTTTGTATCGGACAAAATCTGCAGGGGGTCGATTAATAGGGTCAGAGGTCAAAAGGCTTCTGAAGACCTGCCAACTTCAAACACAAAGCTAATGTCTGTGGACACAGGTCATGAACTTAGATGAAGTATTTAATTGAAGGCTAGATAAAGGATAAACTCAAACAAAGACCTTAGTGATTTCCTCCTTCTGTTTTTTTATGTTGCCTACGATCTCCAAGATCCTCATGGTGTAGGTTGAGCGAGACACATCTTTAGATAGCGTTTCATACTCAGCTAGCTGTAGAAAAACATTAAGAAGAAGAGTAAACAAACACAGTGAAGGTTAAACCAACAAACAATAAATATTATAAGACAGACTTCACAATTCAATGACTTTTTTTAGACCATGTCCTAACCATGACACAAGCACAACCAATCAAAATGTACATTTTTGTTTAATATGCATTTATGTGGACTAGGAATTTGAGACTCCAAAGGGAGTGGGAATACACAGCCAGATGTAACAGACATTGAAACCAAAAGATCATATGTCTTGTGATGGCGAATGAGGACAAAAACTCATTTACATTAAACAGATGGCACTGAACACTTGTGCTTAGTGGTTAGGACATGGTGTAAGTGCTAAATACATTTCTTAGATGACTGAAAGGAGAGGGAAGGGATGAGACAATGAAAACATTTAGTACCAGCTGCTTATACAGACTCTCTTTCTTTTTGGCCTCCTCAGCAGACTGTCTGATTTTGTCATGCAGGTCTTTGATCTCTGACAGCTTCCTGGAGGACTCAGACTGAGGGAAAGTTAACACAACTGGTTACTTCATGAAGGCACATAATGCTGTCAAAGTTATAGTAAGGGCTGCACAATTAATCACACCCAAAACAAAACAAACAAACAAACAAACAAAAAAAATTAAAAAAAAAAAAATCGCACTATGCCTTAGTGAGATTATTCAAATAACTTTTATTTTTCACATGAAAGTCGCTCATGATGCATTTTCAGTGTCCCGGAGCGGCTTGGTTCACAGTAAATAGATCACTTTTAACATGCATTTGGGAACACAACATGCAGCAACCATCAAACATCAATGCTTATAAACCGGCTGTTGTCAACAATAGAGAACTGTAGTTTTCTGCCAAAATAAAAGCATGATGGTATAACGCTTAGAAATTAAGACGTTAGGACAGCCATAAATAACAAGGTTTTAGTTTTACAGTTGTACTGTAAAATAAAATTGTTCTTATTATAAATGCTTTATAATTTTCCTTAACCTACTGCAATTTTAATTTT